TAACTTTCTTTATTTAGCTTTAAACTACCTGGCATTCAGTTTCAGCTATTGTAATGACAAAAGTGCAAACCAATTATTATATAGAACTTGTGAGACAGTCCTTCTTTGTACTGGGGTGAGTGACTCCGCATCTCAAGCACGGGTCCTCTACATATGATCAGTGATCAACCTGTCCTGTTGGTTGGCTACAACCGTTTTGTCTGTTTGTTTCTGGAAGTCCCACAGGATCTTAGCTCTGTCCTTCTCCCCCACCTTGAGGGATGGCTCCGATTATGACCTGAGAGTATCCAGCTTGTATTCTGCACACATTGTTCTGTACACTATACCAGCTATTTGGCCATGACGTTCCATGTGTTCTTTTCCTGCCAGTATCTCCTGCCCTGCTGTGAGATGCTGGATTGTTTCTAGGGCCTCTTTGCATAGCTTGCACCTGAGATCTTGCCTGGTTTGGTAGGTGTGGGCCTCTATTGCTCTGGCGCTCAAGGCCTGCCCCTGTGCTGCTATAATCAGTGCTGCCCCTGCAGCCTGGCCCTCTCTAGCCATTGGTAGGATTTTGTGATTTCAGCCACTTCAGCTATCTATTGTTACAGGTTGTGCAATCAGTCGATCAAAGTGAGTAATTGCATTTTCTATTTATGACAGAATTAAAATTTGATTTTAAGCCATATCTTCCAGCCCTACTGTCAGTGGCACATCCCATACAGGGGGTTTTACTCCCATGTTGGTTCCACGAGTTTTTTTCTTTTCGAGCTTTCAGTGCCTTAGATATTAATTGATACTGTAGCTTCAGCCTTCTGGTTCACCTTCCTTATATGTTCTTAGAGCTTGACTGTTTCATCTTTGATGGTGGCTCTGATGATCACTAGGCCTTTGTCTCTGTCTTTGTTCGAATTCTGTATTGCGCATGTGTATCATAGGGAGGGTATAAAATCAGGCCAAATAGGACCCTTTCAGGCTAGCTCTGCACTTTTTTAAAAGTTGCATTAGACAATTATTGACTAGACAGTTTGGAAACAAAATGCTGTTTCCAAATTATGTGAAACATTTATTCGCATCCTAATTTTGCTCTTTTTGATTTTATGAGCTGATGATAGTAAGGCTGTCACAATGAAGGTGGAGGTTTGACAGGACCCAAATGCAGACACAAAAGCTTAAGGTAGTTACTTGAAGGTTTAATTAACCAAAAGTTCAACAGAAGCAAAAATCCAAAACATAATTCCACAATAATCCAAAAATGCTGAAAACCAGGAATACTCCCAACAAGAAAGGGACAAAGTAATGATGACAAACCAGCAAAGAGTGACTGAACAGGAGGAGAATATATGGGAGAGAAAAACAAAGACCAGGCTAATTAGCAGATTGGGAGCAGGTGAGAAAAGAGGCAAGAAGGGAGCTAGGGAAAAGGAGACTGACACAAGAGGGCAAACAGGAAATATCTGAGAACTTAAATACAATCAAAAATACCTAAAACACAAGAATGGAAATAAAACCAATTAAAACTCAGAGATAAAACTTGAACAAAACCAAAACCATGACAAAGGCAAAAGGGTTATTTAATACATAAATATGCATTGTTTTCAACAGCATTCATCTGATATCAACTAAAGAAAAAAGTATTTGTACAAAAATATTTAACAATTCCATTGTGTCCTGGACCGGGTCACTTTCTGTTAAATCTAAAAGTTGTTAAATATCCTGCTTTGTTAAAAGCATAAAAGTTGACAATATAAGTCTAGGTAACACAAACCAGATGTCTGTAATTGTTTTTTGGTTCGATCAGGGAGTAAATTGTGTTATTTTTGTGTTAACTAGGCGTTAATGGCGAACAGCGGGCCAGCTGACAGCCTTGGCTAGGACTGGAAAAAAAAAAAGGGCCTCTCACCCATTAATTCGTGTATATATAAAAATATAGTTGACGTGTTCTTTACATGCTCTCAATTTGTCAACTACATGTGTCCGATTAAAAGGTGAAGATAACATGTTTGACAATGCATGCAAAACACACGTTAGTCACATGTTGTCTACGTGTCAGTTATTAAGTAAGTAATGTGTTTTTGAACATCTTGGCTTTCCATATTCCTGCAGCTTGGTGAGAGCTGCCGTACCGTAGAGTTAAAAAGACGGAGCCGCTGCCGGACCGAGGACCAAGAGGAAAATAAAGTTCTGAATTTTTACTTTCTGTACCTGCAGTGCATGGACCTTATTTATAGTCTGTTGGTAAACTTTAAAGCTGCTGTGTCAGCGGCATAATCATTTAGAAGGAATGGTACCTTCCCAATGCTGCCAGTACATAATCAAAAGAAATAATTAGGACAAGATTTAAATTTAAAATGGTATTTATTTGTCAACATTTAAAAAAATTAAAAAAGAATGTTCTTGGCCATAAGTGGAGGGGGTTGGTTTGTTTTTATTTAGTTGTAGAAATATTAGACATGAAGACACAACATGGCTAATGTCAGTGTGTGAATGGCTGACTGAATAAAGTGCCCTACAGGTACAGCTCATTTTACCATTGTTCAATTCTTCCCACAATAGTCACACTTCCATGGATTATGCTTTTGTATTTTGAAAAGAATAGAATCGACCTTTTATGTCTAAGTCGTCATGTGTAAATCTTGTCATTAATCTTTCCTCCTTTCTTCTCCTTCTTCCCATTATCCTCCAGCCTTTTGATCCTAGAAGCCATCTCTTTTCCTTACTCACCTTTTCTGCCATTCTTTTTTCAGTTTTTGATTGATGAGTCTCCTTCTCTTTTATTTACCAATATGCACTGTAAAATTCGTGCTCTACTTGCCTTGAATGGTTACAGACCTTCTAATTACATGCTCTTTTACCAGAGGCCAAAAGTAACTAGATAAATTAACAAACCATGACCATGTAAACATACTAAATTTTATTGTAACAAAACAATTTATTAATATTTGTCTCATCTGCTGCGTATCATTATAATTCATATTGGCTAATACTGAAAACATTGGATTAGGTTTTTACTTAAGTGTTTAACACCACATAACACTCCTCCCCCCGTGGACATGGACCTTAGTTTAGTTTTGTCTTCAATTTAATGTTTATTTTCAATAACTTCAGTGCAATATTCAATAACTCAGTGCAATATTTAATATATTGATGTTACTTCTTCAATAACTCAGTGCAATATATATGTATATATATACTCTTACCCTGTATATAGCTAGCTCTTACTCATAGAAAACATATTTATTGTACAGGAAAAAAGTCTTAGCTCTGTTACACTAGTAGCCAAGTAAATGACATTTCGTTGTCAAGATTCACCTTGTGTTTTTTGTGCAATGACAATAAAGGAAGTCTAAGTCTAAGTCTAAAATAAAACATTTTAAAAGAGACAAAGGATGGGATGGAGATCAGAAACATCAGATTCCCAGAAAACCACAGAGAAACTTCATAGATGTGGGGAAGGATGCACAGGGTTGGATATTAGAGATAAGGATGCCGAGATGGGGGAAATTATCAGCCTTAGAGAAGCCTATAGACAGCAGCTTTACATAATACCTCCCAAAAGCTTATGTCATATCTAAAGCACCTTGAGAAAATGGACATTGTAAATTATAGCTACGTAAATAAACTGGTTAACATGTTTTATATTTATATTTATGTGCTGCTTTTTCTTTAAGAGAATTGCCTCAGGTTTTTCTTTCTATTTGCAAAAATGTAACCAAGGACATTTTTACTTAAAGTTTGATTTTGGGTATGTAATTTTTACTTTTATAAGCATAACAGTTTGCACTGGTAACTCTATTTTTAATTGAGTACACATATTTTATTTAAGTCACTACTTTTACTTGAGATATTTATTTCTACCTCTCTATAGACCCAAGCACTGTGCATGTGTGATCTATTGTTGTGAAATGCTGTGAAATGTCTTTTCTGTCTTTAAACCCCACTTTAACATGTCATATCTTATTTAATGAGCGTAAGACACAAAGAGATTTTTTGTAAAGCTGAAAATTGGGAAAAGCTCAGGGGGTGTGAATACTTATTTAGGGCACTGAACTTCCAAGTTACAGGTTTGGGCAGATGATTCACATGCAGTCAGGTAACTAATTTGAACGACCACAAGTGGATCCAGGTTTAATCTTCTCTGAACTAAAGCTAATTAGAAAGAAGCACAGTAACATATTTCCAGAGGAGCTGGAGAGGCTCTAAAGCACGTTGTCCACTGAGCAGGGAAGCAGACAGGGCTACAGGATGTGACATTGATTGAGACAAGTGCTCCCGAGACGCGCTTCATTGACTTAATACTCATTCACACACTTTTATGCATTACATGATGTTGGATTACTGGACCTGATTTGTGCTGATAAAACTTGGCCAATATTCATTAATCAAGAGTCGGCTGCCTCAAGGCTGTTTTAGGGAGATTTGTTTAATATGTCATTAAGTAGGAAAGTTACTCAAATCAAAACATTAGGCATTCGATTGTCTTACTTCTAATCTCATTTGATTGGTGTCTAATCTTTTTTCATATTTTCCTTTCTCTTAAATCCCTTAATTATTGTTTTTTCTTATCCATAACTGTTGACACTGTGCCAGTAATATTTTAAGGTTTTGTGAAACACAACAACTCTGACGCATTTATTATGTTTTTACATTGATATGCGGCAATTTGGAATATTATAGTAACATATGATGTTTTTCCCTGCTAATGAAAACATTACTCTTAGGATTAACAAAAATAACATTTTTATACATAAATGTTGGCATAAAGAGAATTTTGTCTAATACCTACTTCCCATGTATTATACAGAGTACTTTTAATGCCTTTCCAGGAGCAGATATTGTAATAAATTGAAAAACTGTTGAATAACCCCTATATATAATCCAAGTTATTTAAATTCCTACATGTATTACTGTTGTTATGGTTACAAAAATTGCATCGGTAAATATTTTTGCATTCGGGAGCAGTGAGACTAATTGTAGCTTTTCCCCGGTAATTTTCTCATATATGCTTATTTTTCCTGCAGGTAAGTTACAGAGCCAGACAGAGCTTGACTCATCAAGCCATATTCAAGATGATTGCTGTCTGGGTGCTGGCCTTTGTCCTGTATGGGCCAGCTATCATATTCTGGGAGCTGGTGGTCGGCAGAAGCCGCGTGCCCAAGGATGAGTGCTTCGCAGAGTTCTATTATTCTTGGTACTTTCTGCTGAGTGCTTCTATGTTGGAGTTTTTCTCTCCTTTCATCTCTGTTGCTTTCTTCAACCTCAGCATTTACCTCAGTATACGTAGGAGGAGGCGCCTCCATAGGGAGCATCAGCTTCACCATCAGCTTCAGGCAAGGGAACCTCCCGCTGCCCAGGGGGAAGGAATCCCTGTGTCCCACAACTGGGGATTTGGGATAAAACTGCCTGGAAGAGGCTCCATCCACTCTCAGACCTCCTCCCCTTGTTTGGGTAAACAGGATCCCTTGGCCAGCAGGGCTGCCCAGCCTAGCCGTCTGTCCAGGGATAAGAAAATTGCTAAGTCCCTGGCCATCATAGTATGCGTGTTTGCCATCTGCTGGGCTCCATACACCCTACTGATGATCATCCGTGCTGCCTGCAGAGGGCGATGCATCCAGCATCACTGGTATGAGGTCACCTTCTGGCTCCTGTGGCTTAACTCAGCTATTAACCCATTCCTGTACCCTCTGTGCCACAGTAGCTTCCGCAGGGCCTTCAGCAAGATTCTCTGCCCAAAACGGTACACAACTCCACCTTCTTCTGTCCTGCGCCCTGGCTAGACAGAATAAGACACCATTGAACAATGTGCCAACTCAACTGATCGAAAGCAGCTTAAACTGATCCAACACTTTGCCAGGAGGATCATAATTGATAGCCTCCAACTATGTTTTTAGTGTTTAAATGAATTTTGCATCTAAGCATGTTATTTCTTGCTTGTCAGTTTTATGTATATTTTATATATCTCAAGTGTATATTTGCAAAAATTGTATTATTATTTATTCACCAGAACGTGGAAATGAAACTAGGTGTTCATCAATTGTAAAGAAGATCTTTAATCGTAAAATAACTTTCTTTAGATATAGTAGAAAAAAGATGGCGGTACGAAGTATAAATACAAACAATTAATTTACTCTTTATGAATCCATATATATCCATATATATTTCATATATATATATATTTCAAATGAGTTAAAGTATTATCATCTCCGTTAAGGCTTTTGGAAACTGGGTGATAATAGGCCAATATCACCCTCTGCTGTCATGAAGGGATGTGACTTTTTTCTTTTTGTCACCAAACAACTTCAGTACAAGCCTCAACTTATTTTTTTTATTTATTTATTTATTTATTTATTTATTTATTTATTTATTTATTTATTTATATTATTATTATTTAAATATATTTTATCGATAATATGAATAACACAAGGTTTTACATATTGGTGTAGTTTGTAGAATTACCTGCTAAAATGAAAGCTAATGCTCGGTGTTGTAAAAGTGTATTTCAGGTCCTGTCACATATCCTCATTTAGAATTAGTCATGAACTTTGACTAGGCCCTTCAAACCCAGGGATACACTTTCATTTAAGGCACTCCAACAAAGCTTTTGCTCCAGGTTTAGGGTTTATGTCCTGCGGGAGAATGGTCTCAAATCTTTTACAGCAAAAAGTTTTTCTTCCAGAGTTGCTCTGGTTGATGGGCAGGGTTTGTTTATCCCCTTAGTGTTTTGCATGCAAATAAAAGTTGTACTTAGAGTACTTCTTTTCCCAGGCACAATTCATATCTTTTTTTATAAGAGCAGAAATAATTTTATTTCTAAATCCCAATAATGTATTAGTTTATGTTAATCTATAAAGTAAACCCTTGAATAACTTGTGTTTGTCACGTAAAAGACATGAAAAAGACTTCCAATGCTCTCTATAATAACTTTATGTATAAAATTATTTTTATAAAACTAAATATCATTTTATAAAATGATATTTAGTTTGAAAGCAAATGAACTCAGATTAGATTTTGGGGTGGGTGCGATTATTGTCTTTCGCCACAAGATGTCACCAGTAACCCTTTTTTCGGTGCAATAATGCATGTTTTAAAGTAAGCTCTTAAAATGTAAACGGTTATCAGCTTTATCAGTTAACCTTTGCTGTTATTGTATACAGATGTTATTGAAAAACTGTTTTGTTTTTTTTTTTATTTCACACGGGTCACATGTATCTGGCTTTTTCTCTCCAACATTCAACCTTAACCTCTCTAGTTATATATGTTTTATGTGGCTTGTCCTTATAGCTTCAGCTGATGTAATTATTAAATATAGCATTTTGCAACTTAGAGCTTATTTTCTATCCTTTGAAAAAACAATATTCAGTATAAGTTCAAATGATTTCCGTCTGGTTGTAAAGAAAGAAAGTCAGTTATAAAATAAATCTCTATATATTTTGTCTAAACTGAATGCTAGTGAAGATTTTCATGAACATACTTACCTCCAACTGTAACTGATCATTTCTGTGAAAAGCCTGGAATGAAAATAATAAAACTGATGCTGTGCTTCACTGTGAATAAGAACATTGTACCTTAGTTTTTGGCTCTGTGTCAAATGCAGACATTTTTTTAAATATGTGCATGAAAAGGTGAGAGTCTAAAACCATTTTCCAGTACCTCTTTCTATGTACCGGTAAGCTTTATTTGATACGTTTAAATGTTCTTGTCTTCAGATGCATACTTGTTAGACCTGTAATCACGCCATTGTGTCAAATGCTGAAGATGTATTTGCAGGTGCCTGGGTCTCACAGGGGACTTGCATCGCTCAAATTGTTGATGTTGCCTGTGTGCACATCTGGCCCCCTGGTCAGGTGCTGGGAATAAGGGCACAGCTGCAGGCAAAGGCCTCTGCTCTGCTCCCCCCACCGCTCACTCGGCCCACAGCGTGGTTGCAGGGGACAGCAGTGCAGCTCTGACCGCAGGGATGCAGACACATTTCCCTGGGGTTGACAGAACTGCAATCATCAGCAGAATGGCAAGGCTGGGTTTACTCTCAAATGAGATGGCAAGAGCACTCAGTGTGCTCTGTGTGCAGTGATATTAGTGGGGGATACTGCTATTGATTTTGGTGATAGATTGAAATGTCATGGCATATGTGCCAGTCTTATTGGCTGCTGACTGAGGCCGTGGCGGTGATCATGCCAGCTTAAATTGGTCTAAGCAAGTGAAACACCAATGGGAGATAATAATTAAAATGTGGAAAGAAGTAAAAGTTTGCCTGTATCTTCATCCTGCTGTTCTTAGGAGTAGCCTGTGTTCAAACGCAATGATTTTTAGAGCTGAGAACCCAAACAGAAAACGACTGCTAAATTCCAGCGTATAACGCCCAGTGACCAAAGGCTGTGTACATGATTTGTTAAAACTACTAGATAGATTTGTGTGTTTGTTTATCATTTTGTTGGAATTTAAATCGTACCACGACAAGATAACAATCTCTGTGTCTTTATTTAGTACAAATTCAGACTGGTTGGATGAATCTGGGTTTTGGTAGGCTGGTCCCAGAGATAAAAGACCAAGGTACTTCAACTGGACCATTACACATGGCATGATATTTAGCCAACTTGTATCTGAAGAAAGAAAAACTGTCCCAGCAGACACACAATTACCTTTTTATAAACATAGAATCTGTTATCACATTTGCACTATTTACAAGGAAGACCTATAAAGGATTACATACACAGGAATTAGGGGAAGGGGGCCGGGCATCTCAAGTGATCCTCCTGTATAAAACCCATACTGAGAACACAACATATAAGAATAGAAGGGTTTAATGCTTTATTTTGAATAATATAAAAACATTTCAGTACACTTTTTTATTAGCTAAAGCAGCCAATCAGACAAGAACTCCGTGTATTTAAAAACGTAAACACAAAAGTTTACGGTAAACATCAACTTGGGAAAGAAATGGGGTTCAAGTTACTTTGAAAGTAATATCTGTTACCTTTGCAACACGAAACTATCTAAATGTTTCTAAATAAACACCCTTTGCCATCATTTCTTATTTAGATATTCATTAGTTGTGTAAATGACCTTGGAATGTAAACATGGTGTTGGTCTAAAGGTTCGCAGGACTACAATGAAAATAAGTTCCTGGCTTTTTTTTTTTATCTTCAGTGATGACCTGACATGTGTCAAAAAGTGCTAACATTCTTACCTGTACCATCACTAAAATAAATAAAAATTAAAAATCATTCAATTTAAGAATGGTATATTTTTTATTGGTGTAAGTGATGTGGGTTTTTTTTTTTTCTTTTTAATTGAATTTTTCTGAGATGTTAAATGTTTTTGTCGTTTTCTGCCCTTTCTCAAACTAGATTTTAGCTTCAGCTTTCATGAAAAACTAATCAGGGTTGACAATAAATCCAAATGGAAACAGAGGTTTCTGAATATTAGTTAATTATTTACTATTAGCACTTATAAACTTGTAACAGAGCATCGCTGCAAAAACCCTGAAGTATCAATTTACCTTGGGATTTGCTGAAATCTAATTTGATAGTACCTCATATGCAGTTATATTGGAGCAGCTGCCTTTTACTGACATGGTACTAACTCATTCACATGCTTGGAATCTTACAGAAAATAGCAATATTTTACACTACTCCAGAATAATGTTGAAACGTGGGAAAAAAAACAAAAAAAACAGCAGACAAGATCAAACCACTTTGCACAGAAAAAGGTCAAAACCATGACCCCTTTAGAAGCTGAAGTTCCAGCACAGGCTGTTCACTCTCTGAGCAAACTAAATGTAAACCACAGTTAATATTTCATCAGGGACATGCTGAAAAAGAAAAAAAAAAGAATATTTCTGCTTGATTTTGGCCTTTTCACTTCTTTCGTTTTTCCTCCTCTTTTTTTCCTGCAGTGCACCTCCTGACTAGAGATTAAATAATTCCATTGGAATCCTCTTAGGATGGGTTCCCAGCACTTGGCAATTAAACAATTACATTTAATCAGCATGGGGCGACGCTTCAAGTCACCCTCATTTCAGACGTTGATTAAAAGCAATTCTGCAGTGGTTATTGCTGTCGACTTTCGAAACTGCGGTTCACTTAGGTTTACTGCGTCTGTGGTGTCGGATTGGATGGCAATACGGGGAGGTTCAATGGTGGTCGGGAGCTATATCAGCCTCTGGTGCATGAAAGTGTAATGACAGAACTCATGGCAGACCTCATACTGTCCCCTAAGTCAGAGCCATTTAGATTAGTTAAAGACATTTTGACCCTACAGCAAAGAAGACTCTGTGAACAATAGCGAGAGGAGCAGCGTTGGGTTCTGCATGTGGGAGTTTGAATCCTTTGTGCATAAAGATTGATTGTGTCTATTCACTTTGTTACAGATGTCTTGAAGTGTGTTTAAAGAAAAATGCACCTTGACATCTATATTTTTTATCATACAACACAATTTCATCTCCCTCTGTGATGGCAGTGGCTTACTGAGGAAGCACAACAATAAGAGCGAGAGTCTTACGTGAGCTGTGTTTGAAAATGCATGCATGAAAACAGAGCTACATGGCACAGTACAGAGCTGACTGCAGAGATCTCAGTGCAACACAGGCGAAGTGTGATGGACACCCAGCCCCCCTCATGTGAAACCCAGGTGCCCGTGTTTCGTCAGGTGCCCCACTGGCTCTCTAGCCCTCTTAATTAGCAGCTTCCCATCAGCTGGCACCCAGGCCTTCTAGCGACTGGCTTCTGCTGCAGAAAGAATCTAGTTCACTTTAGATCTTTGGTGCCTCTAATAGATGGATGCACGGGCAGGCTGAGAAAGAGGCATCAGTGTTTTCTTGGCAAACTGATAAATCATCA